TGGCCTGCCCACAGGATGTGGTGAGGGGGAGTGGGGATGGATGGGGTAGAGAGCTGTGTCTAAGCTTTTCAAAAGCCTTCCTGAGTCTGCGCTCTTTGGATTGTTAACCTCTTATTTCCCGACCTTTAGTTTTCTCCAGGGTGTTTTCACGCAATCGGAAGATTATTCGGCCTCTTTCTCAACAATGTCCAGCTGGGTCCCGGCCTCACAGAGCAGCTATGTTTGGAATTAGCAAACACAAGCATTCGGAGTCTGTCTCTGAGTAACAGCCAGCTGTCCGCCACCAGCAACGCAACTTTCTTGGGACTAAAGTGGACAAATCTCACCATGCTCGATCTGTCCCACAACAACTTAAATGTAATTGGTAACGATTCCTTTGCGTGGCTTCCACATCTAGAGTATTTCTTCCTAGAGTATAATAACATACAGCATTTGTTCTCTCACTCTTTGCACGGGCTTTTCAATGTGCGGTACCTGAATTTGAAACGCACTTTTACTAAACAAGGTACTTCCCTTGATTCGCTCCCCAAGATTGATGATTTTTCCTTTCAGTGGCTAAAATGTTTGGAGCATCTTAACATGGACGATAATGATATTCCGGGCATAAAAAGCAATATGTTCACAGGATTGATAAACCTGGAATACTTAGGTCTATCCAACTCCTTTACAAGCTTGCGAACTTTGACAAACGAGACCTTTGTATCACTTGCTCATTCTCCCTTACACCTGCTCAACCTAACCAAGAATAAAATCTCAAAAATAGAGAGTGGTGCTTTCTCTTGGTTGGGCCACCTACAAGTACTTGACCTGGGCCTTAATGAAATTGGGCAAGAACTCACAGGCCAGGAATGGAGAGGTCTAGAAAATATTTTTGAAATCTATCTTTCCTACAATAAGTACCTGCAACTGACTAGGAACTCCTTTGCGCTGGTCCCAAGCCTTCAGCGGCTGATGCTCCGAAGGGTAGCCCTTAAAAACGTGGATAGTTCTCCTTCACCATTCCAGCCTCTTCGGAACTTGACCATTCTGGACCTAAGCAACAATAACATAGCCAACATCAACGATGACACGTTGGACGGTCTTGAGAAACTGGAAATTCTGGATTTGCAGCATAACAACTTAGCGCGGCTCTGGAAACATGCAAACCCTGGTGGTCCTGTTTATTTTCTAAAGGGTCTGTCCCATCTCCACATCCTTAACTTGGAGTCTAACGGCTTTGACGAGATCCCCGTTGAGGTCTTCAAGGATTTGTCTGAACTAAAGATCATCGATTTAGGATTGAATAATTTAAACACACTTCCAGCTTCTGTCTTTGATAATCAGGTGTCTCTAAAGTCACTGAACCTTCAGAAGAATCTCATAACATCAGTGGAGAAGAAGGTTTTCGGGCCAGCTTTCAGGAACCTGTGGGATTTGGACATGCGCTTTAATCCTTTTGATTGCACGTGTGAGAGCATCGCCTGGTTTGTTAATTGGATTAATGAGACCCAAACCAACATCCCTGAGCTGTCAAGCCATTACCTCTGCAATACGCCGCCTCACTATCACGGGTTCCCAGTGAGGCTTTTTGATACAGCATCCTGCAAAGACAGTGCCCCTTTTGAACTCTTTTTCATGATCAGTACCAGTATCCTATCAATTTTTATCTTTATGGTACTTCTCATTCACTTTGAGGGCTGGAGGATATCTTTTTACTGGAATGTTTCAGTCCATCGAGTTCTTGGTTTCAAAGAAATAGACAGACAGACAGAAAAGTTTGAATATGCGGCCTATATAATTCATGCCCAAAAAGACAAGGATTGGGTCTGGGAGCACTTCTCCCCAATGGAAGAAGAAGACCAATCTCTCAAATTTTGTCTGGAAGAAAGGGACTTTGAGGCGGGTGTTTTCGAACTGGAAGCAATTGTTAACAGCATCAAAAGAAGCAGAAAAATTATTTTTGTTATAACACACCATCTATTAAAAGACCCATTATGCAAAAGGTAGTTAAAAATTGTGAAATTTTAAGCGTGTACTTGCTTATCAATTAAACTTTTTTTTTGAGATGGAGTCTTGCTCTGTTGCCGAGGCTGGAGTGCAGTGGTGTGATCTCAGCTCACTGCAGCCTCTACCTCCCAGGTTCAAGTGATTCTCCTGCCTCAGCCTTCCGAGTAGCTGGGATTACAGGTGCACACCGCCACGCCCCACTAATTTATGTATTTTTAGTAGAGTCGGGGTTTCACCATATTGGCAAGGCTTGTCTTGAACTCCTGGCCTCAGGTGATCCACCCACCTTGGCCTCCCAGAATGCTGGGATTACAGGCATGAGCAACCGTGCCTGGCCTCAATTAAAGTTTTAAATTAGCAGTATTACTCACAACTCAAAGAATTTTAAAAATAAAATTAAGAAAAAAACTCCCTGAGGGTCAGTAACAGTTTAAACTCTACAGAGTATTTCAAATAGTAGTGCTTCTGGCTGTTAAAAACTGTACATTGATTCTTCAATACATTTCTTCTTAGATTCAAGGTACATCATGCAGTTCAACAAGCTATTGAACAGAATCTGGATTCCATTATACTGATTTTCCTTGAGGAGATTCCAGATTATAAACTGAACCATGCACTCTGTTTGCGAAGAGGAATGTTTAAATCTCACTGCATCTTGAACTGGCCAGTTCAGAAAGAACGGATCGATGCCTTTCGTCATAAATTGCAGGTAGCACTTGGATCCAAAAACTCAGTACATTGAATTTATTTAAATATTCAATTAGCAAAGGAGAAACTTTCTCAATTTAAAAAGTTCCATGGTAAATTTAAGTTTTACATAAAGGTGTTATGATTTGTTTATTCGTATTTGTAAGTGATTATATTCTGTCACAATTATCTCTCTTCTAGGAAAATGTTTCTCCTTATTTCAGGTCTATTTTTGATAAATGACTTAATTTTACCCAAAACAAACATATAAACACATAAGAACATTGTTTACTAATAAATATACAATTGGCCACTGAGCCTATGGCAACTTAAAGGAGCCTTAAACATTTAAAACATTTTAAATGTTTTAAAACAGTCCTCATTTAAAAAAAAGTTGGAATTATATGAGGGTTTGTGATGATCTTTTTGTTTTGTTTTTTTTTTTTTTTTTGATTAAACTTAGAATGAAAGATAATTGTTACAAAAGGTGTAATGCTATTCCTTTGTAAAAGTGTAAAATATATACCCATATTTTTAACAAGTTTAATTACAGTATTTTTTCAATGGAAAAACTTTCTATTTTAGTAAATACTTGTCTCAGTGTTGATTTTGTTAAATGTTATTTTTTTTAACATGCATTCCCAAGGGCAAAAGCCATTTGCAATTCATTTTCATTAGTTACTGAGATGATTATTTGAATGAATATTTACTTGTATTTTTCTGAGATAGGAGTTTCTGCTATTGGAGAGTAGAAACAATTCTCTTACTAAAAGTATTGTAGACAGGCTTGCTTTCTGAAGGCCAATCAGTAATTGGCCTTGTGGAAACAGAACTTTCCTCCCGTGGTCACAGACTCAGGAGATGGCGTTGGCAAAATCACTTGGTCCCACTGAGATTCTTTGACTCTTGATCTTGAAAATTCTGATAATAAATAGCATCTTAGATATTCCCATATAATTAGTGATAATGATCACAGTAGAATATATTCCCAGTAATGTATTATTTTACCATAAAATATATGCTGTGTATAAGGTAGTCCTTATCTAGAAAGACTGTTTTTATTTTTGCTTTTTGTGTTTGTTTGTTTATTTTTTAGGGACAGAGTCTCCCTCTGTCGCCCATGCTGGAGGGCAGTGGTGAGATCTCGGCTCACTGCAACCTCTGCTTCCTGGCTTCAAGCCATTCTCCTGCCTCAGCCTCCCAAGTAGCTGGAATTACCCTTGCGTGCCACCATGATTGGCTAATTTTTATATTTTTAGTAGAGATGAGGTTTTGGCTAGGCTGGTCTTGAACTCCTGACCTCAGATGATCCACCTGCCTTGGCCTCCTAAAGTGCTAGGATTACAGGCGTGAGCCACTGCACCCGGCCTTTTTATTTTTGTTTTGCAATACAACAAAAAAAAGTTTTTAGTTTTGCAATAAAATAGAGTCTGATTATTGGAAATAGACATGAATAGCTTTTGGAAATATTTATCCTTCCAATATTTAAAGAGAAAGCTGAAGTTATAAAGCTGAGTTAATTTCTATACCTGAAACGTTCATTTGTCTGCTGAATTCAGGGAGCATTTGAGACATCACTTTTGGAACTTTGATGTAAATAGTTAAGTATTCCCAAGGCTGAGTTCCAACACCCTGGAATGAGAAATATCCACGGTACTGCTGGTTCGGAAGAGTCTATAGTCTGCCCACACTGTGAATGTGTGGAGGACTAATGGTCACTTTCAGATTATTTGCCACTCTTACAGCTGAGACACTATTTTTTCAGCATTTTAGTTAAGATTTGCTTTTTAAGTGTACAATAATCCTGTTTTATTTTGGCATTATAAAATAAAAATCATAGCTTCTTCTTTTCTTATATGCTTTGTGTGTTATCAATAGTGTCAAGTATTCATAAGATATTTTAAATTAATCGTTGCGCATTAGTCAATATATTAAGTTGCTTACTATGTAATATATGAGTGCTATTTAACATATAATATCTATATTTAGTATATCAATATGTTACTGGAGAGGGTGTCCAGGTTCTTGGTGCTTTGAGCAATGAACTGGACAAAATGAACAAAGAATGAGGCAACAAAAGGAGAGATTTATTGGAATCGAAAGTACACCCCACGGGTGGGAGCCGCCGAGCGAGCCGCTCAGAAGCTGGGTTACAGAATGCTCTTGAGTTTAAATACTCTGTGGAGGTTTCCATTGGTTCCTTGGTGTATGCCCTATGTAAAGGAAGAGGCTAAAGGGAAGTTACAGTTATTTACTTGGTGTGCACCCTATGCAAGTGAAGGGGGTGTTTTCCGGTAGACTTACAAAGTTACTTACTTCGTGGTAGAATGTTGGGGTTTTTCCATTTGATTTAGTTGCAAGAAGCGTTTAAGTTCCCTGCCGCCAAGACCCTATTCTCCTGCCTCAAATATATCAATGACATATTCAATATTTCGTTAAGTTGCTTAATATTTAAGAGGTTAAGATGTACAGATAATGACCTCTGAATACAAATAAAACTAGTAAAAGGTGTAAACTCTGACTCCTATCTGACCTAGGCGGGAAGTTACGTCCTGACCTTCTGCCCGCTGTCCTGTGTGATTGTTCTCAGGAGGGGCGCTTGTCCCTGGGGCTGGAGAGAAGGGGACTGAGGAAAGGATGTTTGTCGGGCCTCTTGTGTGATTCGCACAAGTGACTCGACTTGTCTGAATCCTCACAGGGCACCATCCTGATATCTGTTCACTCCAACTTCTTCCTGTTTTTCACACCGCAGAACAAAACCCAACTGAATCAACGTTGAGTTTCAAATCAACCTTGGTATCTAGGCTGTACCTAAAAATGAAAACTTTTAGATTGTAGTAAGAAGTAGATGCTGGCAGTTTGTTAGTGAGGAGGGGACGAGTTTCCAGTGCCACTCCGTTAACAATGTCTGATTATTCAAATATACACCTTAGGTTGTAAAAGTGAGTCAATGCTGAGTTACGGTGACCACTGAAAAATGTAAAGGTGCTTCAAATCAAGAACTTAGAAGGAATTTCTTGCTATCTGTTGAGACACAAAACAGGTTAGCGGTTGTCAGGACCTAGGAACAGGAATGGGGAGTGGCGGCAAATAGGCGGAAGAGATCTTTTTTGGGTGATGCAAATGCTCTAGAACTGGATTATGGTAATAATTTGTACAACTCTGTAAATTTACTAAAAGTTACTGAGTTGGATACTTAAAACAGATACATTTTATGATTTTTTTTGTAAATCATAGATTCACAAAACCATTAAAAATAGTATTCTTTGAGCAGGTACAGCTAGCCCTGTGCTAGCTACTGTGGTGAACAGGAGGATGGGATAGAGGTGTGGCAATAGGAGCTGGGGGGAAGGGATTTTCAAAGATGGTCCTGGGCAGGGACGGCTCCACAGAGGAGATACAGCCCGTTCCAAGGTGGGCGAGATTTCAGTGCGTGGAGAAGGTGGCGGAAGGCACAGCGAGAGGGAAGATCATGAGGGAGACATGAATTTGGTGTTTGGAGATAGTGGCGTGCCGAAGAGAATGGAACCAGGCTCCAGAGTGTGGCAGAGGTGTTTACATGCCGTGTTTAGAAGTTGTGGCTTTATAGGTTTCAACTGGCAAACCCAGACCTCATGATAAAATTCCCTCCTGGGATCTCTGCCTTAGATTTAGGTGTGAGCCACTTAAACAGAGGAATACAGATATAACTTCACAGCCCAAAGCCAGGCTGGCTCTTACAGAACAGAAAAGGGCTGTAAGCACCTTTTTTCCCTATAAACAAATACATCTGTGTTAAAATAAAAAAGGACAATCACTCATGAGTCATTAGTTACACTAGATGACGTGTTAGCCACTGTTAGCTCTAGCAAGTCTCTAGCCCTGCTCCATGGTCCTGTTTAACGTAGAAAAGAGCCGTGCTATGTGACTGTTCTCAGAAACCATGCTTTGTGTGCATTGGGCAGGAGTCATCAGACTTTTTGGTGGTGGAGCTCTTCCAGTTTCGCTTGAGGATTTCTGGGCAGACAGGGTTGGCTTATTTAGCTTCCTTTTCTCTTAGGTCAGTTCCCCAGGAAACAAGATTCTGGGATGGAGATTTGCATGAAGGCAGTTTCAGGGGTGCTCTGATTTATAAGTGAGTGAAATAAGCTGGATTGGGATAAGACAGGATGATTAACTGTGATGCAATTCACTATTGCAACTGAGTTCGTAGCTAACCCTACAGCAAGCTATGGAGCTGAAATGACCCTACAGAACTGGCAAAAATCTAGGCAAAGGGGCTGGCCCTCTCTCCATGCCCTCACATCAACCAGTCACAGACACAGGCAGCCGCAGGGAGGAAGTGAGACCTTAAGTAAAATGTTTTGCCAAAAGAAATTCAAAGGGGAGGCCCTGGTTGTGAACCATCGGAAGCTAACACACTGTGCAGCTGGGGGAATAAGTGCCTGGATCCCTAGAGCAGGGCTCCCTGTAAAATGGTCCTTTAAAAATGATAACAGTGAGAAAGTGATGACATTGAAAGGGACCTGACCCCACCAACTCCATCTTGCTTCTAACCTTGTTCACTTCCGAGTGTAGGCAAACTAACTTTGGGAGGAAAGTAGTTTATAATTTAACGTCAAAACGAAGGTCGTAACTTCCCTTTCCCAAAACGAGCCTCCTTCTTGCCAGGGAACCCGACTGCCTTTGTAGGACTAACAAATTAGCCACGAGATTTGTAACTCAATGACTCCTGCAGACAGCATCACTATTTCAGAAGGTAAGGCTGGCCTTTGGAGATGTCATTTCAAGTTTTTGCATTTCTGACAAATGATGGCTCATCCAGACCTGCCGACAGTCCTGTGGCTCCACCTAGGAATCGACTCAGCGTAAGAGGACAGGCTCAGCTCCCTCTGATTTCATCTCCAGCCCAAACAATCAGCACCTCGCATTCCCTGGCCCCCTACCCACCAAACTATCCTGAGCATCTCCAGGATCTGAGGGGTTCAGCCCGCAGAAGCAGAGAGATAACGGACAGAGAAGCCTTTCCTTGGTGGGTACAGGTACCATCTGGCCTGGGGCCTTTGGCGGCCTAATGCTGACTTGCTGCCTCTTTCTTTCATGAGTGCTTCTGTCATTTCTTCAGAAATCCAGCCTCTTCCCTTGCAGCCTAACTCACAGGCTCTGGTGAGCCGCCCCCAGCACAGGTGCATCCATGGCTGCCAGGATGGAATACAATGAATCCAAAGCTTTCCATTGGCCTGTCCCAACCCGGGTTCCAACTTCTCTCCTGCTGTGGCTTCATACACCTAAGCCATTGA